ATTTATTTATACTTATTTTTAATTTAATTTTAATATATATTTTTTTATATAAAATATCAAAATAAAAAATTTTTAAAATTTATATAATATATATATAAATTATATATACAATTACAATACTTAATTGTATTAAATGTAGTATATGTAAAATATTTATTAAAATAAAAAATTAATTTTTTTTATTATTTTTATATATTCCATAAGGTCTGTACATTGTGAAAAACATGCCTCTGTTCGGAAAGTCTCAAAAGAGTCCGGCGGAGGTGGTGAAAGCTCTTAAAGAGGCAGTAAATGCATTGGAGCGTGGTGATAAGAAGGTAGAAAAGGTATGTTGTGAGGCTACATTTCGGTTTCTATGACGCAATACGTTCATTTTTAGGCTCAAGAGGATGTCAGTAAAAATTTAGTACATATAAAAAATATGCTTTATGGAACAGCTGAAACAGAACCTCAAGCAGATATTGTTGTTGCCCAATTGGCACAGGAATTGTATAATAGTAATTTGTTGCTTTTACTTGTGCAAAATCTTAGTCGCATAGATTTTGAGGTATTTATATACATTAATAATAATATTAAATTATAATTAAATTATAAATTTCAAAATAATTTTATATCAGAAAATAAATTTTTTAAAATTATATATTATATTTTTATATAATATTCTTATGTGATATATGTGTATAGTTTTTTATTATTTATTTTTTATTATTTTTTCTTATTTTAAAATATTATGTTTAATAATTTAATAATAATATTTAATAATAATTGAATATTTAATAAATATTTTTTTCATTAGGGAAAGAAAGATGTTGCTCAAGTATTTAATAACATATTACGGAGACAAATTGGAACCAGATCTCCAACAGTAGAATATATATGTACTAAACCAGAAATATTATTTACTCTTATGTCTGGGTAAAGTTCTCAATCTTTTTGAAAATATAATATCTATATTTTGTTTTTTATTTTGTACTATATCAATTAATATTATTATAATATAATTTTTAATTCAAATTATGGAATTTATATATAAATATTTGAACAAATATTTCAATTTATAATTATAAAAATTACAGATATGAACACCAAGATATTGCTTTAAACTGTGGCACTATGTTAAGAGAGTGTGCAAGATATGAGGCCTTGGCTAAAATCATGATCTATTCGGACGACTTTTACAATTTTTTCAGATATGTTGAAGTATCAACTTTCGACATAGCTTCCGACGCGTTTTCTACATTCAAAGTAAGCGATGATAAAGCGCATGATATATCGTACTTTAAAGTAAAACATACTTGGTGTATCCGGTACATTGATTTTTAGGAATTACTTACCAGGCATAAAATACTGAGCGCTGAATTTTTAGAAATTAATTACGATAAAGTTTTCTCTCATTATCAAAGGTTATTGAATTCAGAAAACTATGTTACACGACGACAGAGTTTGAAACTATTAGGAGAACTTTTACTTGATAGACATAATTTCACTGTATGTATGATTATTATTAAATGTTGCATATATAGAATTGTAAGATCATATTAAATAAAAAATCTTTAAATTTCAGGTAATGACACGGTATATTTCAAATCCTGATAATCTGAAATTGATGATGAATATGCTTAAAGAAAAATCACGTAATATTCAATTTGAAGCATTTCATGTGTTTAAGGTATATTTATGTAGTTTAACTTATTATTATTATTTTTATAAAAAATAATTTAAAAACTTTGTTCATAATTTATTAGGTGTTCGTGGCGAATCCAAATAAACCAAAACCAATTTTAGATATATTATTGCGCAATCAGGAAAAATTAATTGAATTTCTAACGCGCTTCCACACTGATCGTTCCGAAGACGAACAGTTTAATGATGAGAAGGCGTATCTTATTAAACAGATTAAAGAGCTTAAGTCTGTACATGAAAATTAAATTCAAAATATAAATTATTGCTACAGCTATCGTTAACTACTACTATTGAAGTCTATACAGCTGCTATTGCTATTGTTATATCATTACAGTCACCGATATAGCAAATTACCATTATTTTACCATTCTTCCTATCTTTCTGTCTTTTACTGTCCCTTTCTTTCACTTATCGTTGATCGATTAAGACTTGATTATTATCATTATCATCATCATCATCATTACCATTATGATTATCATTGTTATTGTCATTATTATTATTATTATTTTTATTATTATTATTATCATCATCATTAATTTTTATTATTATTATTATTATTATTAATTTTTTATTAATTATTATTATTATCATCATTATTAATTTTTATTAATTATTATTATTATCATCATTATTAATTATTTGTTTTGATAATTATTATTATTAATATTATCATTATCATCATCATCATCATAATCATCATTATTATTATTTATAAATATTATTATTATTATTAA